TAAACGGGGATTCATAACAATGAGGCCTTGTTCATCCCTTAAAAGTAAATGATGTGTTTTCTTTCCTCCTCGTTTTCTCCCTTCTATGTAGGATTTTTCTTATGTAGGTACAAACGTAATACTTTAAATTGATCCAAGCATAGTAAACTCGAGAGCAAGGCTGGTCTGACAGATGTGGGGGTTTTCTGTTCTGTGGGACAATAAAGGTGAGCCGACAGTACTGCCATTTATAGATAGAAATGGTAACATCATCAATTTGATAGAGGATTTGGTTGAGCACAGGCCTTGCCACTATAGAACAGAGTTTGACGGAAGGTCTTCTGTGGCCTGTTAACCTTTACATCCGAGGCTGAGGACGTCTGTGCTTCTTAGATCTTCCTCCAGGGTTTCACCACCACAGAAGGAGAATTACAGTGATGCGTCATCAATGCCAATTAATTCTAATGCTAACGATCGTGTAATATAAAGTTTACATAGCACGATTGATATAACAGTGTATAATTACATGTAACTTGTGTGACGGATGATTAGAATTAATAGTATATCATCAAACAGTCTCTTATATTATTTATGAGTACATATATAAAATACGAGATTGCTTATTTTTTTTGTGTATTTTAAAATTTCCCCCGAACATACACATTGCCACATTTATATATCACATATAAAACATATGATATAGCCAAGCTCATATATATGTATATATAACATTACATGAAAATGTACATTTTAGAGTTCTAAAATTTGCTAAATCAATTCCATATCCCCACCGCCTTTCATACCTAGCTTAGCCTTGTGAGTGTTATTAACTGAATGAATATTCTCTCTGCATTTGGAACTGATTTCAGAGCTTGATTAAAACAAATGAAATATAGTGATAATGTTTAAAGTATTTGATTCCTATATACATACATAATACTTATGCCTTAAATGGTGAATTTAATCAATAAGGAAGTGAACAATTTTGGAATTTCCAGTTTTACTTTCAACTACACGAATGACTTAGGATTTTAAAAAGTTTAGAAATTTCACTCATGTGCTATTTTAACACATTTGAAAAATAAAGACTATATTAAAACATTATCTGTAAATACTTGCCTTTATAAACTGAGGTGTGAAGAAAGCCACATGCAATATTGTACGCACAAATAGAGACATACAGCTTCCCATAAAAATAAAGAATCCAGCAAGACGCTTGGAAGACTAAAGATTTAATATGATAAAAACTGGAGCTTCAGCATCCATGAGTGCTCCCAACCTGTTTCTACATTCTGATGTTAGCTGCCCCGTGGAGGAGTCTGGAGGAGTAACACAGTTCTGAAATATTTACTATCACTTTTATTAAAACACAGAATTTTCATACACTCCTATTTCCTTACCCTGTAACCTGCTGTTCCTCTCATCTTGGAGGAAGAATTGGGAATTGAGTTTTCCTTCCAATGGAACATTCTGAGAAAGAGACAGACAGTTAACCACCCTTTGGTATCAATTCAAACTTTTTTTAAGTGCTTGAGATTTCTGAGCCTCTCTTTATATTTTTGATCACAAAATTTTGGACCAGGACATTTGTATTTCTGATGAAGATAGTGTTTTCCATCACCCTCTGCCCCTGCCCTCCTCGTGGGAAAGGGGTCCTGTTAATTTTTTTGTGGAACTCAACAGAGTCATTGACTCCCCTTTATTTGTCTTCCACCCCCAAATCAGTAAGGTTGTATTAATAGTGTCTCTGCTTCTGGTACATATCTCAGGTGGAATATAATTCAGGGGACTGCAGTAGAGCTGAGATTTCAGCATACACTGACTTTAGAGACATGACTGTATTTTTATAAGCACGGTCAGGCATACTTTACAAATTTGTGAGAATATCTCCATAAATCACTTCCATTCTTTGTTGCATTTTTATTTGCTGAAAGATCTGTTTTATGACATGAATCACATTTTCTGAAAGGCTTGATTTCTCCAAGATTACATTCCATCATTTCCCCCACATAATTGTTTTGAGACAACAAATTGCCATTTTGTTTTTGTTTAAATTACTCCTGTCAATTTTCAGTGTCTGCTGGTGCATTATTTTTGTTAGAAAGTAGACTCAGTGTATGTGTAGACGTCTCTGGGTTCAAGTATTAAAATTAGGCGTTGGGCCGTTGTGATTAGAAGAGGCAAACACGAAAGGGCCTCTAAGATCCCAAGGGATGAAAGACAGAGAGAGAGAGAGAGAGAGAGAGAGAGAGAGGGAGAGAGAGAGAGGGACCTCAGACCAAGTGGTGGAAGCACCTTAGGAAAGGCCCAGGTTGGTATGGGTGTGGCGGCTGGGCCGGGAGGCACATTCTTACTGCTATGTGGGGAAGCGTGCCCAGAATCTGCCCTCATTACGTCTGGAGCTTGCCAGTTCTTTTCAAACCTCAGTTTCATGAGCACCATAAAAATTCACTTAAAATCGAAAAGAACACCCTGAAGTCAAGATCCACTCTGCTTTGCCTTTCATGGCTTGGAACACCACCTTTTACCTCTAGTCAACAAAGCCAACATCAACACTCTTCCTGTTTTTTATTTTTTATGCTCTCAATATTCTTCAAATGACTATCTGGACACTTAAACAGGGAAATCGCAGCAGTGATCTATGTCCTGCAAAGAGAATTGTCTTTGTAACACACAGTTAAAGTGTATCAATCATTTTCTTTTGTTTCTTGGACTGTTCACATTGGATTGAGTAAATCTAAAATGGGATTTTAAAAGACATGATTAATAGTGGACTGCAAAGAAATCACGGTATCATAACACTTCTTACAATGGCCTGGCCCTGCGTCCAGCGGCGTTCCTCAGAGCAGACAGTTGCCCCGTTTTCTGTCTCACAGTGCATTGTCTCTTTAACCTCACTATTTCCGAGAAGCCACCGAAAAGTTCTAATATGTCACAATTCAAATGTCAACATGTTGCTGGAAAGGAAGCTAATAAGTTAAACCTTTGAAAGATGCCAAAAAAAGAGGTGATTCAAACTGTTGAGAGAAGTCCATTGTTTTCTAAGGGGAAGTAGAACTTCAGCGTAGAACGGGGGACTGACTTATAAGTATTTAACTGGAAGGATTAGGGGGAGAAGCAAACTCACACGTAATTATTTAAAAAAAAATTAGTAACTTTTTGAGCAGAACCGCTTCTCTCAGGGAACCTCTAAAGAAGAGAAAATGTAAAGGTTACGGTTAATACGATTCAGACTGAAAATTTACTGTCTTTTATAGAAACAGCCTGTAACAGACAGTAATTTTCCTAAGGTCGTCTGCATTCTCCCTATAGATAGAAAGAAAGAACCTTAGCTTATAACATAGCATCATTTTATATACGGCATTATTTTCTAGAAGCCAGTGTCAGGCAGTGACATGACTGTTGAATGAAAAAAAAAATTATTTTATTTTGACAGGAAAGAAACTAAGCAGAAAACACCCCTCGTTGAGTTATTTTTCAAATTTAGCACAATTTTGTACTCTGGTGTTTTTCTAGAAAAATAAACAATTGGGCTTTAGAGCCACCTACTGGAATAAAGAGGGACGCACTTACTGTTTAAAGCCCTTAGCTTTTCAAAAGATAAATAGATAAAGAAACTGTGAGTCTTTCCGCGGGTCTCCTAAGACGTTGGTCTACTGGTCTCTCTCAGTTTGAAACGCCAAGTGGTCCAGCAAGGAGCTAGTTTACCAGCAGTATCTTCTACGAATATGTTCTTAGAATATGGCGGTTTTGGGGTTTTTTTTTGGTTTTGGTTGTGCGTGTGTGTGTCTCAGCCAGATATTTAGAATCTTGAGGTTTTTGACTTAGTGAGGTTGAAATTCTGTTTATGGACGTTTTTACTTGGCAAGAGGATTGGGAGTAAAGACTCTCATTGAAAATGCTGAAAAGAGAAAAGAAGGTACCGGGCCAAGGGATCATCTTCTGCTCCTAGTACCTGGAGCTCCGCAAAGCTACCGTGGCAGAATGGACTTTGTCTCTTTTTCACTGGTTACTTGTATGACTTCTTTCTTTCTTCTAAAACCTCTATCTAGTTATGGAATTGTTGTTTAATACACAATCTTAGGATAAAATGGAAACTAAGAACCCACATCTTAAATATTTTCATGCTTAAAAGATTTTATAAAATCTAGGGGTGTTTCCCGCATGTAATAGTGAAGAAACACTGGAGCCTGGACACGTAAATGGGGCAGTGTCCTGCCCAAGTCACGGAGCTGCTTTGGGGAAAGTCAGCAGCTCCCAGGAATTTCAGGCCAGGGTTCTCCACACCTGCCCCACTGCTTTTCCATCAGTCATTAACAGACTTATTAAACCCTTCCTCTCCTCACCCACTTTGCTAAAAAGCAAGGAGAGTAAGCACACCCCTGCCACCCCAAGAAATGAATCAATAGCAGGCATTGTGCCTGCTTTAAAGGAGTGAGAATCAGAAGCCTGGCATGGGCAGGGCCTGGGTGTGGGAGATGGAACCCTGACTGGCAAGAGATGGATTAAGTTACCAGAACAGAATCCTCCCCTTTGCTGTCATGGTCTTTGATGCCATGGTCTTCCACCCATGACCTTTGAAATACCTGTTGGAAAGATGCTACTTTTGCAAACTTGCTTCTGGGGGCAGGCTCCAGCTCTCGGGGCTGCTGCCCCGTAACAGGACAGCACTCAGCTCTGTGAGTGTGTGGGTTACAGGAGCTTCCCCGGCTTGGAGAAGGGAAAGTTCTTTGGTAAATGCCACACAAAGTGTAGGTGACCCAGTGAGCCTTGCCCTAAGAAACTTTGACTTGCGAAGTCAGATTTGGAGATTTGTGAGCGGGCTGGAGTCATGGCTTCCCCTTGTCACCAGAGGTCTCATTTTCAGTATATGAAACAGGAAGCCACACTTTGTTTGCTACAGAATAAGAATGGAAAGGCACCTGTGTTCAGGCATGAGGACACGGGCAGACATCTCTGTTGCTATTCACTGTGCCCTCTCTTTTCTGATCCAGCTCCCCGTCTCTTTTTTGTCTTTAAAGATATTCTATAGGGTTGTAACAGACGTCGCACCAGGAGAGGAGCTTCTGCTTTTCATGAAGAGTGAAGATTACCCTCATGAGACGATGGCGCCGGACATCCACGGTCAGTGCCGCCCCCGCCGCCTCACTGCCCCATTCGGCCACTGCAAGGCAGCCACGGAAGGGCCACTGTGTCCCGTGTCTGCTGGTCTCTAGCTGTCCCACGTCAATTTTAGCAAATTCCTCCTTCTGGAGCAGCTGTTTTGTTGGTTCAATGTCTGGCTAATATTCTCGGGAAGCCAAAGTAAGCAGAGGCCTTCCCTGGTGCGGAGGTCTTAATCTTTGTAATCGTCACTATTTGAACCGGACCCTCACCCAGCTCAGCCTTTTGTCAGTATCTGAGACTATGGGCAGGAACCTTCCACTATAGGAGAATCATTCCAGGGAGCTTGGTTTTGAGCTTCTCCAAACCTAGGGGATGTTTCCCACATGCAATGTTCTATTACTAGGAAAAGAGCTTCTGTGACCTTAAAATCTTAGGCAGCATGATCACAGGGTTGGGATTGGGGACATTGGGAGAAAACTATAGCTGAGGGAGTTTTAGAGGCAGAGGCCTGTTCTAAATCACAACAAGAGGGATCTAAAAAAAAATCCTGATTAGTAGTGATGTGTGTTCAGTCGGATGCAGAGAAAGCTGCTTGTGTTGACGGGCGTTGAGATGAAAGGTTAATATTATTTTTCTCTCCCCATTTCTCTTCCTAATATAATGTGATTCAGTTCAACATAATCTAGTGTTTCCTTCAGAGGGCTTTGTATTGAGGGGTCACTGGGAACAGTTACTACTCCCAACCTGTCAGAGAGGTGGGTCCTGTCCCCATCCATCCCAGACAGAGAAGCTGGGCACAGGGAGCTTCCAGCACAGGGTCCCCTGTGGCCTGGGGCTCTTCCCCTGGGCGCTCTCTTCCTTTGGCTGGGCTGCATTCTGCCTCTCTGGAGGTGACAGTGTTATATTCAGAGGGAAACTTTTGGTATTCATTTCCCTCTTAGAAACTCTGCTGTGCATGCGGCTTTAGAAACCTGGAGTCTGCACTTGACCGGCTGGGTGGAGTCTGGGCCTGCAGGAGGAGTCTGCCCAGGAGGAAAGGGCTCTTGGGTGCAGGAAGTGTTTAGATGGTGAAATGTGATCTGGACTTTTTTTGGGGGGGGAATGAGTCTTTCATCTGTAAATGTTAGATCTAAAAAGGCTTTCACACAATTATTTTTTGAAATATAGATGATTAGCTTACCACCCCCAAAGGCCTACACTGAAGCGATGTTTTTCCTTGAGGTCTGCTGTTAACGGTCACCCTCCTGCTCGACACTCTTCACCCGTGAATTGTCCCTTTTCAGCTTTCACATGCACATCTCTACATAGGTCACATATGTGACCTGTAATGCTTGTAATGTTTGAATTACTACTTCTGGTTTATACTGGTGGGGTTTAACTTAGGGAAGAGCTGGTAATTCACGTGCATAGCACCCCGATATTCCAGATATGAGGTGCCCTCCATGTACCTACTGTCCCGCTCAGTCTTTTTGCACATAGATCGGACTGGTGGGGAAGAAATTCTATCCATTTTAAAGATAGGGAAACTGAGGCTGAGTAAACTGACAGACTACATGCCCATAAGTGACAGTGTCTGTAATACTGAGGCCTTTTACTGCTCTTCTGTGAATGTGTGGGTGGTTACAGACTGCAGGTGGCCTCTCCCATCACTGCTTGATGTCATCAAGAATCCCGTCCTCAGCACGAGATGATTTTTTTTTTAGAATACTGCCCTCTTCCTTAACCTCCACATCTGAAGATCACCGACTGTTGTGACCACATGGCAGGTTTTTGCCTTTCTGGCCCTGCGGCTGCTAGTTTAGTTTAAACTAACTAGCATCTTCTCTGGGTTCCAGCTGTGTCCGTTTCACTTCTCCACTTGGCTTGACACTGCAGCTGGGAAAATGATTTTAAAAACAAAGTTGAAAATATGTCCCTGCTTTCCAACTTTCCATGGCTTTTTGCTCCCTTCTTAACATGGCTCTAAAAAGCCCCCACGACCAGCAGAGTCTCTGACTGCAATTTGTTCCCCCCCACGTGCACCCCACAGACCTGCCAGGCGCACTACGACCTCCCCTTTCCATGAACTGTCATTCTCCTGCCATTCCCGCTGCCCGGAACCCGCCCGTCCCAGCCCACCTGGCTGATTCTCACTCCTTACCAAGACTTTCTGAACCTCTTCCCCTCAGATCAGGAGGAGCAGGCAGGTCCCCTGTGGTCCGTCAGGCCCTGCAGCTGCCTCTGTCCTGAAGTCTGTCACGGTCTGTTCCTTCACACAGCTTATGTGTCTGTGCCCTACTGGGAGGCCTAGCATCTGGTTAGAGGCTAGACTGTCTCCCCAGAAACATTCGGTCCGTGAACGGTGGGACAGCACCATTTTCATCTGTGGTGGGTCTGTTGACAGGGCTGTGTCCAAGCATTGGCTTGGGGTTTCCTGCACCGTGAGCTGTTTTCGGGATTGTCCCTGTCACTGCTTCTGTGTGTCTGTGTGATCTGCGCAGGGCAGCCTCCTGTGTGGGCTGAAGGTGCTGAAATAGAAAGGCAGAAACCGCACAGCCCACCTGACACTCGTGACCATTGTCTCTAGACTGCACCACTGCCGTTTACTTACCCCATTTACAAGAAGTGCAAATCATTGATGTGTCTGCTGTTTAACAAAGTAGGCCGGTTGGCACTGACCCTTGGGTAGCAGGAATTAGCCTAGAAGTGCTCAAAACCCCCTGTGTCCCATTACTGGTGATGCTGGATGTTAAAGAACTTCCACATTTACTGCTGTTAACCCGGCGTACACGTGGCTGAGACAAGGACTCTGTGTCCCTGTGTCTTCAGGTGACGTGGCAGTGGCATAACAAGAAGGGTAAGGAACAGAGGTGAGTTTGAACCCTGACACAACCACGTAGCTCCCTGGCTGATTACGGTTCTTAACTTCTCTGAATCACACACTCTCATCTGAGAATTAGGATAGAAACAGGATCTGCAGCTCAGTATCATGAGGTGTCAGGGAATGTCGGTGATCCTTGTGCAGGACTGAGGAGAATAGATGCTGCTGGGTGCGCGGTGAGCCTCACTGTTAGTGCCCTCTGAGCACAGAAGGCCCCGTCATGGAGTTGGCTTCCCTCACAGTATCCACAGTGATGGCTGTGTTACTGTTCCAGCCACTGTCCTGAGCTCTTCACGTACCTTATTTCTAATCCACATTAAAATTTACACAGCAGAAATAACAATCAAATGATGCCTGTTAAGTCTCGTACAGTTCAGCAAGGCAGGCTGGTGTGCCGTGGCACCTACCACCGCCCAATCCTGGTAACACCTGTGCTGTCTTCACAGAAGAACGGCAATATCGCTGCGAGGACTGTGACCAGCTCTTCGAATCCAAGGCTGAGCTAGCGGATCACCAGAAGTTCCCGTGTGGCACCACTCACTCGGCGTTCTCCGTGGTGGAAGAGGACTTTCAGCAGAAACTGGAGAGTGAGAGCGATCTCCAGGAGATACACGCAGTCCAGGAGTGTAAGGAATGCGACCAAGTGTTTCCTGATTTGCAAAGGTTAGAAATGGCACGTCGTACCACATACCTGTGTATCTGCTTGTGATGTTCAATTGATTTTTGAGAATTTATACAGGTGAGAAATTTGCAATGGCATCAAACTGAACAAATGAGCTAGTGACATGTTGAGAGACTATTTTTCCTGGGAAATTCTCATCTTGCAAAATACTGACAGTGAAATTAGAATCAGTTGTTTTGATGTCAGGTAGAAAATAATGTGCTATGTCATTATTTAGGTAGTGTTATAGAGAGCTAAAGGCTTACCTTTATACTAAATTATGATTTAGAAAAAATTAAGTGTTGGGCCAAAAAGGATGCCACTTAGAGCAATCATGTGCTAAGAAATAGTAAATCTACCTATAGAAAAAATAAAGATAATAAAAAAAGAGACCACCTATAGTTGGCTAAAAAAAAGACTAGAGTCCAGGCACAGTGGCTCCTACCTATAATCCGAGCTCTCTGGGAGGCCGTGGCAAGTGGATCACCTGAGCTTAGGAGTTCAAGACCAGCCTGAGCGACAATGAGACCTCATCTCTAAAAATAGCCAGCCGTTGTGGTCCGTGCTTATAGTCCTAGCTACCAGGGAGGCTGAAGCTAGAGGATCACTTGAGCCCAAGAGTTTGAGGTTGTTGTGAACTATGATATCATGGCACTCTATCCAGGGGTGACAGAGTGAAACTATATCTTAAAAAAAAAAAAGAAAGAAAGACTTGAATGGTACTTACTTGATGAAATAATGATATTTTGATAGAACAGCATAACTCATAGATTTCATTTCAACAGTTTGTCTAAACTGGGTGTCCTCAAACTATGGCCTGTGGACACATGAGGCCCGCCTAGGACATGCATCTGGCCCACTGGGTGTTTCTGTCACCACTGCCTGTCCTGCTTAGCAGCCGACTTGTCCCGGAGCCCGCAGTCCAGCCCTCCAACGGTCTGAAGGACAGAGAACTGGCCCCTTGTTTAAAAAGTTTGAGGAACCCTGGTCTAAACTGGGCATATATAAAAGAATAGGAGAAGCATGTTTGATTTCCTACAGTGTTGAATTTACTAAAGGAAAAAGATAAAGATGATGAGCTAAATGAAAATCGTATTTCAGTGACCATATTAACTTTTCATAGCCTTTTGAATTCAATTCAATAACTTTAATTTCTATTACAGAAAACAACAACACTGGCACCTACCCTTTGAAAAGTGTATTAATTATGCTACAAAATGGTCTTTAAAGTCACATAAGCAGCTAATGGGTTGTTTTTTCCTACCTAATGATTTTTGTCTTGGGCCACAAATAAGTTCAATAATTGTATTCATCACTTTGCTTTTTTTTTTTTTATTAGATCATAATTGTGTACATTAATTCTCTCATAGGATACAGTGTGTTACTTCTATATGCAGTTTGGAAAACTCTCATCCAGGTGGCCAACATAGCCATCATGTCTTTTTCATAATTGTTATGCTAAGACATTTATATTCAACCTTTAGACAAATTCACCTGTACCCAAATAGAATAAACTATAGGCATGATCCCCACAATATCATTCTCTTCACCCATCCTCCCCCTCTCCTCCCCCCTCCCCTCCCTCCTCTTCTAGCTATCTTAGGAAAGCTACAATCCAAATTACTTTGCTTTTAAATCTGGAAATGATCTTTGGAGCTGGTCATCGCGGTTTCCAGCAAATGTAGATAGCTTTGCTGTATTTAGAGGGCACAGCGGTGTCCCGCTGGCCCTGCAGGGATCTGGTCTCTGTCCCCACTTCCTTCAGTTCCCCGTTCTGTCCCCATCCCTTTCCTCCTCTCCTCACTCCCGTCTGTGACCCTGCATCCTTCTCCTCTGGGAAGGCCTCTTTTAGGAAAGGCTTTCACATGAAAGTTCATTCACGTTAAGGCCTAAGTGACTAACAGGGCATTAAGGATGACCTATTACTTGAGGAAACTGAGTCAAAAGAACAAATCTCTGTCTTTGAAAATTTTGCTATTGGAGAGAAAACACTGGGGGAGGAGGAGGGCTTTGCCATTTAATATAGGTCTGCATATTTATGTTTGGTAAAATGTGGATTTGTAATAAAAACGTGTCACAGCATGTCTCCTAAATATAACTGTTCCCAAATTTAAAAAAAAAATGAAACCAATCAATACCGATGGCTAGGCAGAAGTAAGTATCTCTGATGTCAGAAACGAAGTGTATGTACTTCTGTTTTGTTATCAAGAACGACAGACAGCATTACGGAGCAAAAATCGACAGATTAAACACTACAATGTAATTCTTTCTCCCTCCTGGACCTGTAAGGTGCAGCCGCATTTCTTAGGTGGAGAAGGCTTCTTAATCTGCTTCCCGTAGTGTTAAGCCTGAGTCCTTTCCACTTAATGCTGAAACAGTCAGATTAGTTGATTCAGTCAAACATTCAGTGGAAAACAGTAAGGGAGCCTAACGACCTGGACCTGGTGCATTCTCGAAACTTATTTTTTGGTGCCCAGTCGGTCCAGTAAAGCATGTCACCAACCAGGTAGACGTCAGAGCTGCACTGGTTACTTTGGTTGCAAATTATTTAATTTAGCCATATGTGGAACCTGTGTTTTCTGAATATTTTCCATTTCATTGAATAGTATATTGTTTCTTTATATTTTAAACAATGAAAATTTCCTTTCTCAACATGGTAAATTCTCCTGTTCTGTATCTTACATGTAAAATCTTGAGAAAAGAGTGCAACAAAGGAGCAAGAAATAAATAAAGTTTAACACGCAAATAATAGAAACAGCCAGAAATCACACAGGAGGCTAAGCAAAGCTCTATACATTGAGATAAAATTGTATGAAAAATGAATTCTTGCTAATGACTAACTGGATCACCTCTGTTTTTGAAAGCAATACTATTTGCTTTTGTGGGAATGACTTACTGTTTTTTCTTTTTATCACTGATTATCTGAAAGGCGATAATACCTTGGAACAATATGGATCTTCTGCTAGATTAGGAGAAGCAAAGACAGGGAAATTTCCCTTACTTAATCTTTTTCCCCTTAAGTGCCTGGTGCTCATAGTCTATCCTTGGAATGAGAGGAGGGAATAAGCCCCACCAAATCGGTCAGTATTTCCTTGCTGGGCTTCAGGCTTCATGATTTGATCTGCAGCTTATAGGAATATGTTATGAAGTGGCCTGCCTTCACGGCCGCCAGGGTCAGAGGTGAGAACGGCAGCCGGGCCCTGGGTCTGGAGGATGCCCCGACTCACCTCAGGGCCAGTGAGGTTGAGCTCTGTCTTAACCCTGCTGTTAACATTGTAATGTCCGTATCAAACCGAGGATTGCAAACGGTAGATAAAGAGCTTTCTCGTGACTGCACACACCTTTACTCTCTTGGCACCTTTGGTTCAGGGAGATATCGTCACCCGCGCTCAGATACAAGAGCACTTCCAAGGTGGCCGCTCACAGGGCAGGAAGAACAGGTGCGGTGCCAGGGTGAACAGTGCCGTGGGGGGCGCCGGGGAGGGAGGAGTGCGGCAGAGGTATTTCCAGTGTGCCGAGATAGGAGAAGGGTCACCTCACTTTCTCACAGACACTCTGCTTACGTAGTCTGCACACCCCTGGGTAAGTATGCTGCTGGGTGCACGAAGGTCTTGGTTATATTGAACTTTAGAGTATTTTTTCCACAGGGAAATAAACATAGATGACGAAAAGCACTTACATGCATGGGAGTTAGTTTTTTAAAGTAATTTTTTACTATGAAAAGTTTTAAATATACTCGAAACTAGACAGGATGGCATGAGAGAGCCCACACATTCGGCTTCAGTAATTAACACATGAGACCAGTTCTATCTCTACTGTATGTGTTTCGGATTATCTGAAGCAAATCCTGACATTCTGTCATCTTATGAACAGTTCAGTATCTGTCTGTAGAAAGCAGTGACAATCTAAAAACATAAATTCAGGACCACATTTAAAAAGATGATCTGTTAATGTTATCAGATATTCAGTTAGAGTTCAGATTTCCTCGGTTATCTCAAATTTTAGAATATTTTGCTTGAATTCAGATCAAAGTAAAGTTTATACATAGCAACTAGTTGATTAGCCTCTTATGTTTGTTTCCTGAAGGTTCCATGGCTCCTGACGGGGCTCAGGCCTGTAATCCCAGCACCTTGGGAGGCTGATGTGGGCGGATGACTTGAGCTCAGGAGTTCAAGACCAGCCTGAGTGAAGGGAAACCTGTCTTTACTAAAAATAGAAAAACTAGGGCATGGTGGCAGGTGCCTGTAATCCCAGCTACTTGGGAGGCTGAGGCAGGAGGATCGCTTGAGCCCAGGAGTTTGAGGTTGCTGTGAGCTGTGATGTCACAGTATTCTACCTAGGGGGACAGAGTGAGACTGTCTCAAAATTTAAAAAAAAAAAAAGGTTCCTGCAGAGTCAGTCTGTTAGCTGGTTCTCTCTCCCTCTCTCTTTTCTATTATTCATAGAAAAATATAGAAGAAACTGAGTTGTTTCCTATAGTGTTTCCTCCAGTCTGGATTCTGCTATTTATATCCTGGACATGGTGTTTTAATTTCTTTCTCCAAGATCCCTTCTACTTCCTGTAACTCATTGTCACACCCCACGCCTTGGTTGGGATCTGCCTTCACGGTTTTAGCAAGAATCCTTCCTCAGTGGTGTCATGCATTTCCTGGAGAAGGCCCATCATGGATCCCCTGAACTTGTTAGCTCAGTAGCAGCTGCAAGTGTGTGGCCGGTTCAACTCTGTCATTCTGTTGTTCATTATTAGGATTAATTCTGAATAGAGAAACTGCCCCACATTTACAACTTGGTTACTCTGACGTGCAGTGGATGGGAAAAGCCAGGCATGTGTACCGAAAGTTTTTTCCTTATTTACTGGTTTTCTGGATAATGGTTTGGCTTCCCAGCGTCCTCTGAGGGTGGCCAGTGAGGCTCTGAATGTCACTGTTGTTCACAGACTGTCCGTTTTTCTGATGCTCAACTTGCCCCGCCTTTGGACAGAGGCGTTTCTTCAGGTTGGCGCTCTAGTCTTTTGACCTCAGCTACAACTTTCTTGGTTTTCACCGTAAGGGGATGGTCTTGTTTCATCCTGTGAATTTCATGCGTCTGATCTGACATAGGCTGTTTCTCCAAGGAGCTCTGGTTACTCTACGTGTGGGTGTTATCCTTCTGTGCTATGTGTGGTATTTATTCAATAAAAATATCGAAGACATCTTCTATTACTTCTATCATCTATGTAATATGTACACACATTTATTCATTTACTTCCATATTTATTTATGGGCATATTTGTATCTATACAGATGAACACACACACATATCTGTACATCAGTCCATCCGTCTATCCATCTATTCCAGGGTCTCATTAGGAAACTGCTTCTTCCTTTTTTTTTTTTTTTTTT